AAACAGATGGACATTAGTTCAGGCAGCTGAGACATCCTGTAAATTATGTGGCTCATAAACTCAGTCCAAGTCCATTTGCAGTCAGTGGGAATTTTGCAACAGACTTGGGCAGGGGCTGGATCAAACTCAGCTTGTGTGGGTGTAGAGGAGCGGGATTTACAGCTACCTTCCTCCAACACATATCTGTCAGATACTAAGGCTACAGGGTATTTTATCACCTGTTCACCATTGCACTGGGTCAATTTTCAAGGCAAGTCAGGGTGAGAGAGCATCCAAGATCACCCATCTGGAAAGATGAATTAAAGAGGAGTCACCACCAGCCAGGTGTAGGAGGGCTGTCAGCTCCACGCTGTTTTATCTACTTAAAATCTTGTAATATCTATATGAACAAATGATTAATGTGCCAGCGCGTAGTGTAGTGAGAACACCTAGACAAAACAAGTTACGAATTTGAAACAAACGCAGAGGACTGAGTTTTCGTCTCCCAGTCCTGGTTTTAAGGGGTTAGGACAAGCATCCAGACTGCTCCTCCAGCAGAGGTGGTGGGAGCGAGTCCAAACTCGCCCCCTTCTTTCTCTTTTCCTGTTTTTCCTTCGTTAACCTTCAAAATCCAGTTGCAAGTGTAATTTGGATTTCTTGTTCCAACCTCTCTCACAGTGCTCAGATTTGAGATTCCTTTTTAGGAATTTTGTGCTGTGTTTTGAAACATTTAATGATTTAGGAGGAGACAACTAACTCTATGGTTAACATAGGGTAGCAGCAGTCCAGGGAGTCGGCAGTTCAGGTCATTGCCTTTGCCAAAGGAGGATAATCAGTACAGTTCCTTACATTTGTTATCACACTGATTGCCTGAGATGTCTACAGCTCCCTTGCTACCTTGGATTTCGTAGAAATTAACCTCATTTTAATCCACAGCGCTGACACAGTCTTGAAAAGTGTTATTGAAAGGAGTTACAGGTAGTCGCAGATGAACCCAGGGCTGCTGCCTTGAGTCACAGAAAAATACAGCGGGAAGGACTTCAGGAGAGTCCCTGGTCCATCCCTCTGCTCCAAGCAGGATCAGCTGTTCCTCGCTTAACATTCGTCCATCCTCTTCTGAAGACCTCCAGCACCCCATGGTCTCCCAAGATAAGTTGTTTCGAGGCTTTATTACCTTTATCACTGGAAAGCTATTTCTAATATTGAATTGAATCTTTTCTGCTAGTCTTTGAACACATTATTTGTTATCTGAACCTTCATGACCTTCATGACAGAGAAAAAAAAAGTCCCTTCCTCTCCACAGCAAACTTCTAGATAGTAGAAGACTTCAGTCATAATTTTTGACATGTTTTTTAGGCAGACAGTTCAACTTTCAGTATTTCCTTGCAGATTGTATGTTTTTAGATTGCTAATAATTATTGTTAAGGTCTTCCTGGAAGTGTGATGCCTGAAACGTAGTATTATGTCCCAATTGAGGCTGTACCAGTCATCACTGTGACCAGATCAGAGGGATGACTCAGTCTGTGGTGCAAGCCATTTTCCCACTCATATATTCCAGAATGACTACATTCTTTTTCTCTCTGATAGTATACTGTTCACTAATAATTGAGCCCTTTTTTTGAAAGGCTGCTGCATAGCTCACCGCCCCAATCTATGACCATGATTAGTCCCGCTTGAAGTGACACCTTTCACTTGCCTTTACTGAGCTTTAACCTATTTTTTCAGACTATTTTTCCAGTTTGTCAGGGTTGAGTTGAATTCAGCTGTCCCCCTTCCCCTGTTCTTCCCAGAATCTGCCCCTCCTTGCACCATACCATCTAGGCACTTGATAGACGTTGTCTGTATTTCACTGTCCAAGTCATTAGTGAGAAGCTGAACAAAATCAGGTCTGGGGCAGGCCCCTGCAGAGCCACTCTCTGTGTGACCTACAGAAAACTCTCTGGGCACATTTATTAATCAGTTTTGTACCAACCCCATCATAGCTTCATCCAGACCACCTGTCAGCAGAAGGGATTAAGAGCATTTCTTGCCCCTATAAGCACCAATGAGCACTTTATTGGAGTGTGCTGGTGTGGATTCAAGTCTCATTAGACAAAATTAGAGTTTGGACCTGAGACATCATGGTGTTGTTTTTGAAGGTCCCAACCACCGAACCACTGAACGAGAGGGGAGACTGCCTCCTCTGTGAGCTTTTCATAGAGTCATAGAATCATCTTCAGCCTATTTTGTCTGCTGTTTGTTGCTCTTCCTGTGGCAATCCTTCATGGGAATCAACTCGGAGTTAGTTCACATTCAATGACTATGTAGTACTACAGCAAAGGATGATGGACAAAAACAGCCAACAGCTCATGCATGGTCCTGGGCATTGAAACTAGGGACGGGTGGCCAGAAACAAGAATCCACCCTTAGTTTTCTAAATTTCTGCTTACAGAACTACTGTGGACAGTAAGGACTTTGTGGTAGGGTTGTATCACCTGAAGCAGTAACAGAGGCTTCTGCCGCCTCACTGGGACTTACTGTGTAAGGCAGCTAAGAACACAGTTGTTTCCATTCGATTATTTTAAGTCACTGAGCTAAATCCTGGAGCCAATGACTGTATACATTCATCTTCCTATAGAAGGGGCAAAAGACAACAAAGAAACAAAGTGCTGGAGTCCTTGCTGGGTGGAGAAGTAGGGGTGCTGCAATCGCTGCAGGACAGAGCCTGGCTCACGCTATGCATGAGCAAAGGTCCTGCGACAAGGTGAGTTTTCTCAGGGGTGAGAAGTGCTTGGGTAGCATTGGTTCCCTCTTCCAAGAACAAGGGGAGCAGCGAGCATCTTGGTTGGGCTAGAAAGCAGGAAAGTACAGAGAAGAGAGCTATTTATGGCATTGCTCCAAAATGCTCTCCCTTCTGCTCTGCTCTAAATATTCTCATGCCAGGTGATGGAGCACAGCCGTTTGCCAGCTACCCCTGAGGACCCCTTTGAGCAGCAGGACAGCAGTCTCATAGGAGATGCGCTATCAGTGAGAGCCCTGCAGAGAGACCATTGCCACCCATGAGGACAAGTCATTCCTCTTTTCTGAGGATCTCCTTGCTGTCAGCCCCAAGACAGCCAGAGATGAAATGAAATCACTCACCATCTTACCGTAGTGCCTTATCAGATACACTTGAACAAAGATATCCTGGCGTATCCTAACCCCTGCTATGAGGTGTTTGTCTGGAGCAGGAGAGCGCTCAGATTCATTTAAGCATTGGTCCTGTCACTGTGTCTGTCGTACCACTGTGGACTGACCCAAAAGACACCCTGGGCTGGCTGGCTGGGCTGATTTGTATCCACCCTGCTGAAGGCCAGCATGTTGCCTATATCCACACTGCATAGCACTTTGACCGGGTCTATTCGGGGCACCATGGGATAGTCCTGAGGTGTAATTATTACTTATTCAACACTTCTTGAAAGACGTGTAGATGTGGCACTTAGGGACATGGTTTAGTGGTGGACTTGGCGGTGTTAGGTTTACGGTCGAACTCAATGATCTTAAATGTCTTTTCCAACCAAAATCATCCTATGATTCTATGATTGTGTGAGTTCTGAGAGGGCTCTGTTACAGCCTGCAGAATGATGTCTTTAGGCATAATGCTAGGGTATTCTTTGTGTACCCAAGAGAGAGCATGAATATTTTTGAAATTGCAATGTTCCCTGTGATGCAGAAGTCAAACTTGGTGCAGTCTGCATCTATGCTGTCTGCTTGGATCAGACTCTGTGGTGACCTATCCTATCAAATGTGCCCAGTTTCCCATAGAAAAGGATTAGTTGGTTCACTCTAAAACAAACCTGGGAGCAAGCGAGGCTGCCTACAATGTGGACAAAGAAACAGACTTTCTGTGTGGGAAATATGAAGGCTAGTGATCAATAGCTACAATTTATTCGAGATTCCTACCAGATTTACGGCAAGAAAATTGCTTTCAAGAACTGTAATACATCAGTAATTTCAGCTGCATTGCAATTGAGGCATCTACAATCAGATCCAATCACTGGGAGGTTTTTTGAGTTTGATTATTTTTATCTCGTTTTTCATAATGACTGTATCTGAACTAGCTGAAGAAAAGGAGAAAAGTGATTGCAAATTGTCATCTGTAGAAGACCAAGTCTAACACAGTGGTAAATAAAAGGCAGACTGTTTCAGAAGCAATGGGAAAGTAGTGAGATGATCCGTGCGTACTTCTTGGGTTGCCAGTGTCATATCAACAATACGTGCTTTGCTTGTAGATTTTCCTGCAGCACCAGCTCATAAAAACATGACACTGTGAATTAAGAGAAATGGCAAAGGGAGGAATGAATCAATGCAAATTGAACCATATTATGCACAAACAAGGCAGTAAGTAAAGTGTGTGCATCAACTGACATTTTTGAGCACTACCTTTAATCGTACGTATTTTGTATTTCACTTTAATGTGATAATTTCTTTCAGCTGCTGACATCTACTGAAATTTTAGTAAATGTGAGATATAAATAGACAGATCTGTTTGGTTAAGCATGGAAAACACCTCATCGAAGGTAAAAGGACAGAGTGAGATATGGAGGCACTTGCACTATTTCATAACCCTGCCATTTATCATTTGCCTGTTGGATACTAATACCTGAGGCAGCTTATTGGATCTGTACACTGCAAACAGGAAACTATTATATTTTTATCCAAAGTTATTACAGAAAATAACCCAATGATAATCTTGCAGTCTAAAAATTTCTATTGAAGCATCTATTCAGAATTGTCATGAATCTCACTGAGTAGTAAGAGCTTACTTACGGCACTCTGCATTTTATTAATATCATCCTTGCCAACTCTCATTAGTATCACAGTTAATACAGTTTAATTCTCAATCTCCCAAATTTAATACAGAAAGGCTTGTCTGGAGTAGCTGCCCAAACTGTTGGTGCAAGAGCCATAGCCATAGCCATAGAATAAGGGATGGGGAAGGTATGTGGAAATAAATCTATTGCAGGTGATTCATAACTCATCTAGATCTGTTCTGCTCCTAGGTGGGACCTCAGCGTCCACTGCAGGAGGAAGGTGCACTATGCCACCTCCCCCAGGAAGGGCAGCTTTATTGGCCCGGTCTCGGGGAATCCTCTTCACAGGCACTGCGCAGAGGCGGTGTCCTGGTTTCTTTGAGCTTTCTGCAGACAGGAGGATCTATCAAACATGCTGGTGGAAGTCATGCATCTGGCAACTGGTGAAAGGAAACAGAGCAGCTCTGAATTCCCTGTGTCCCAAAGTCAAGTTCATTGAAAGATTAATCCAAACTGAGAATTGCCTGAAAGCTTCATATATTGTTTCCACAGTCTCTCCTGATCAGGAAGAAAGATTGGTGAAAGAGAAAAATCATCATGTAAGACAAAGACCTGAGACAAGCTCTGTATACCAAGTCTCTTCCATGCTTTCAGATCTCGAGCTGACAGTGTTATAGTTTTCACTGCTACAAGGCTTGGGCTTCAGCTGGTTGCTAATGTCATACAAAGAGCAGTGATTCATCTGAATGGGGAAATTAGCTGGATTAGCTTTAGCAGAATAAGCTGTTTGGCAGGGACTGTTGCGGAGTCACTTCCCGTGGTGGGCATCACCCTTCAGCACCGGAGCACCTGGGGAGCTCTGCCGGGCAGTCCCGGCGTGTAGGCAATCCTCAACCACACTGCCTCATCGCTCTTAATAGACTGTCTTTAAAAAGCTGTGGTCTGCAGCTAACTATTTTAACACAAGCCATTTCCTTTTAGTTTTTCAGAGCGGCAAAAGCATGTTTACATGAAGTCCCAAACATCTGTTCTTTCTTCCAGAACCACTTTCATTACCAGGACAGAGGAGGATGGGTAGGAAAATAGAAGTTCATCATGCAAGCAATGCAGAAGTGTGAGAAAATGCAAATTTACTGATACAGGATTATATAAAATAATAAAAGTATCTAGGGCAATGCGGCCAATTATGTATACTTATACTCCCTGTCCCGCATGTTAGTTTAATGCTTGTTGTGCAGAGCATATCTGTCGCCTGCTATATAATTAAAATCTTGTATGATTGTAGGGCCCAGTGCAGGTCAGATGCCAGTCAGGCCCTGTTACTTGTAATGCAAAATGAAGTGTTTTAGAAAGAAAGATTGCCCAGTTGTGTGGTTTTCAAGCTCTTTTGAGTCATGAGCCTCTAAATTCTTTCTGTGGAAGGTGAAATGTAGAAATTTCACATACTGCAGAGCAGTACATGAACTTGCTCTTCCCAGTTATCAGTCACAGACCTCTGGGAAATTATCTGTAGGGGTTTGCGGGTCACAAGCTGAAAGTGAGTAGTCTAGGGGACTGGGATTAAGCAGTCTGGGTTCATATCATGGAAGTTAGGTATCTGAACGTCTTTGGAAGACTTGGCACCAGGCATCAGCTGGAGTGAGAACATGCAGAGGAGCAGCTGTTGCAGAGTAGTGGGAGAACTGGAGGTTTCCATCCTTGCTTGACTTGTGACTTTTCTGTGCCCTGAGAAAATAGCCTTTGTTCTGTTCATGCAATGTGAATTTATAAACATATTTTTGTTATCTTTCTTTGTAATGCAAGAATTTCAGCTGCAACATACATAGGCTTTTATTCTAATACAAAAAGAGGTATGTATTTCTTTTCCTCTGACTCTAATCTCAGACCCTATTTCTTGCTCCAAAGTACAGTGTAAAATCTATACACCTGCATCCTTCAGTGCTGTAATGAACAGTTCCATGACCTGCAGCTGTTCTGTCTTCTCAGTGAAGAGCAAAGTCAGGTCTGTAATTCTTCTACCTGCAGCACTTGCCTTTCCCTTAATGGCTGAATTACTCCCTTTAGTTAGGCTGGTCAGGTAGAAAGCTGATAGTTCAGACGTTGTAAGTCTAAGACATTAGCACATTAAAGACAGCATCCCGTGGCTTTCTACAGGGCTCGCTTTCTACCTAGAATGATCTTCTACTTGGCAGTTAGCCTAGCTAAGTCAGATAAAAGATTTGCATTTCCCTGAGCTCTGTCTTGCTTTGTTTCTTCCTAAGCCATGCTGGAACATGAGTTTAATATAACTAACTTGATATTTAAATTTGCCTTCCTTGGAGCCGTGGGCTGTAGGGTAGGTTAGGGCTTCTCTCTGGGTCCCTCCTGGAGGCCATTTGCAGAAGAGCAAGCAGCATTCACAAGTAGCCAAAACCATTGAGACCCAACCGTCTCATCAGTCATGTCCTTGGGTGGTCCATCATGTGTTGTCAGGCCAGCTAGGCTTCTTCTGCCTCTCATTTGCCCCTCAGCCTCTCCTGTGCTCTGAACAGCATGGCCCCAGGGCCGAGGGGGCTGTTTCTGCATTAACCCCCACCCAGTAGCTAGTAGCTATTAACTACTGAGTACTAAGGCAAACATCATGTCAAGAAATCTCTTTTACATATTCTCTGCTGTTCTTTATAGCTGTGGACTTCAAAATCATGTGCCAGTGTTTGTGCCCACCCACCCCCCAATAATAATAATCAACAACAAAAAAACCCCTACAGGGTTTATGTAATTTGAGATGTGGCTTGCTTTGGTGCAGACACAGTTCTGCAGTTCTGCACTGGATGGTGCCTGTAATAGCTGTTTCAATAGCTGAATTTGTTTCCTAGTTCCTCATAGCACATGTGCATCATCAGTAAAATATTCTGCTGTATTTTATTGACATGATGCAGCTTTGCACTCTGTCCATTTCCCAACAGAGCATCCATTTAGGGAAGAATGGATATCTTCAATAGAGGGAAGAGTGTCTCTCTGGATGAAATTATGCAGCACAGAGTAAAACCCCAGAGGATATCATGTGCCAGTATGTCAAAGCTGCATGAGGTCATGTAATAGGCACCATTAGGTTTGCTCATTCAGCCAGTCTCTGTTTCACGAATCTGGTTTATCTAAGCTTTACTAAACCATATTTTATTAAACCCAGGTTTAAGAAGTGAACTACAAAACACTTTATCAAGAGCACTAAACACAGTCAGTGGACTGTAGATGTGAGTCAATTGGGATGGCTCCAGGCCTCCCTGCCGGGCTCTTCCTTGGCGATCTGCCTCCTTTTGCAGCAGACGGGCTCCAGGGTGGGGTCACCCATTGATACTGTGCGTCTTGTGGAGTTAGCTTGGACCACGACCACCCCATGATAAAGGGAAGAACAGCTGCTTCTTGGATTGAGGACCCCCGTCTTGTAGTGGAGTTTTAATTGAATTTGTAGGCTGCAATCAAAGGAACCTTAATCTCTTTAAAAAAAAAAAGTCCCACAAAGTTATGAAGATGGTTAAGATGCTCACATACATACATGTTGTGGGAAAGGGGCCACAGGGAAGAGAGAGGCATGGAAAGGTGGAGCAGGGGACTGGTGTGGAGAGGCAGAAGCAGCACAGTGGGGCAGGGGGGAGAGGCAGAGCGTCCCATGGGGGCTCCTGGGAGCTCTGTGGGACTGCACAGCAGCACGGGAACCCACCAGTCCCAGATGTGAGATGGCCATGCCAATATGCTGCCGCAATGAAATAGGTCATCTCTTCTAGATCGACGATTCTCCCTGCACGGAGTGCTGTTTTGGGGGTTTTGTAGTAAGGAGCAGAGAAATAGCAAACCAGAGCTTCTGTTCTCATAGGAGAATGCCAAAAGAATCAGCCTTTGTAAAGAGCAGGCTGCCGCCTGAATTCCCTCTTGCTCAGCAATTTTATTTTGCCTTCCTTGAGCACAGCCAGGACTCTCTGCTCAACTTGGTCAGGCAAATCCGTTCCAGCCCCCCATCCCTCAGGGAGACTGCACGCAGCTCTGGGTGCAACAGGTTTACAGCAAAGTCCAAGCTTCATGCAATCCCGTGGGAGTAGTACTGAAAAATACTAACCCAGTGCTCTCTCTCCCAGTGCCAAACGAAGAGCTTCACTGGGGTAAGGATGCTATCTTATCCCCGTATCTTCTCCCT